ACACTGTGTGATAATCACCATTTAAACACATAAAGCTACAGCCCCACACACCAACACTGATCTGTCCTAATGAGGACACACGTCATCTTTCTCTTAGTACTTAGGTGTGACCACGGAGCAAAGATGAAAGTGGTTGCCATGGTGATAGTACTGTAGAAACGGAGGCTGACTGCTCATCAGTGCTCATGTTAACTGTTGAAACTTAGAGTGTGTCTACTGGGCCGCCTCACTCAGCTTTAACGTCGCTGGGTTTTTGGCTAGATTAGCATTAGCATGTTTGCAAAGCTCTAAAGTTGCGTTAGCAGCATGATGCAGCTGCTGTGGATGCAGTTTGCACTCCTTTTATAGAAATAAAAGTCATGTCCATCCACTCTGAAGACTGTGGCACTATGAAGTGCAAGGGGAACTGCGGGATGGATAGACAAGCAAACTAACAAGGAATTAGACTTCTGGGAACCGGTTCTTGATTCCCATCAATACTTCAGAGTGCTTGAAGGATCTGGTTAGCTGTGCAACAGCTTTAGTATCTCACACCCACTCACCATCTTTGATTTATTCTTACAAATCCAACAAGACAACAAATACGTTTGCACAAACTTGATCATTTTATGAAAACAAAAGTGTTTGGATGCAACATCTGTCTGTCATGTGTGGGTGGTTGATTATATTTTGTTTGAGGCTCTGACACTGTGTTCTTAGATGCCCTGTGTGCACTGTGACCTCTGGTGTTTTACCAGTGAACTCCCTGTGCTCTTGACACTAGTTTGAGAAAACAGTCGTAGTGTTTTTCAGTTGGCTGCTTGCTTCATAACCTACAACATGTTTGTGTGTCTCCAGAAACACAAAGCTGCTCTTTTTTAACCGACGAGAAGAGGACATTCTTTGGCGCTTTGAACTGGATGAACTGGCTGCTAATAACGACAGGTATAGGAGCTGTGCACCTGGGGAGGGCCTCACACTGTGGGTCGTGTTAACAACAAGCCTCTAAGGTGGTGCATGTGAACAAACGGCAGGGTGGAGTCATCGGTAGAAAAGAACCCGAGCTCTAAGAAAAAAAAGAAAATGCAGAGAAAGAGAGACGATGAGGAGAGGAGTAGTAACCAGTTTAGGCCAGTCCTGTTAAATGTCTATGTCATAAATGTGTTATGGCCAATTTAGATATCTGGTTCAATATTTGTTTTAGCCTTTGGAGCTTCAATAAGCCGGTGTGTCAGAAAAATGCCTCTTCTCAACTGAAGTGAATGGCTGTGGAGACATGTCTACATGTAAAATGGCTCTCGTGTCTCGTCTTCCGTTTGCTGTGTGTTAGGTTTCAGGTGGAGCATGTCCTCTCTGAGCCCAGTGAACGCTGGACCGGCCGGAAAGGTCCGGTGAACGAGCCCATCCTTACTGAGCTGCTGTCCAGGCCTGATGGGTCCAAATGCTACGTGTGTGTCTGTGGCCCTGCAGCCTTCACAGAGCTAACACTCGGGTAGGTAACACAACCGCACTGCTGCTCTCACAAAGTGTTTTATTTAAAAGCCGTCCTCACGGAGCTCTATGTTCTGTTCGACTGACTGCACTGTTTCACTTGGTGTGCAATCACAGCATTTAAGAGCGCCAATACAGTCATGTGATACGTCCTAGAAATATCATTGAAACAGGCAGCGAGCATGTTCACATAGACTCCGGCAAAGTCTCAGATTTTATATGATCATTAAATAAGAAATGTGTTATAAATTCAAAGGCCAAACTGCCTCAGCTCCGCGCTCTATTGTTCTTTTTTTTCCAAGGACTTGATGTGATTAATGGCACACATTTTTCCACCTTGTTTAAGATCTGAAATCTTTGTAAAACATTCAGCTGCACGGGCCTAACAACACCAGACTGAGAACATTTTCCATGTGTAGCGTGAACTGACTCAGCTTTGTGTTGACCTCCTTTCCTGTGTGCTCTTCTTGTAGGTTGTTGAAGCATCAGGGCTTCAGTGAGCAGGAGCTCCACGCCTTCCAGGGTTGACATGAAGGGAACACTGTGTTTCTATGCATCGAGAACTTGATGATGCTGATACGTTTGAGGTGCTCTGAGGAACGTCATATAAATAAAGAGAAATATCACTGGTACTGTTTCAGATACAGTGGATCCAGAAAGTATTCTTTCAGCAGTTGTCATGATCCAGCCTTATTCCAAAATACATTCAATTTGTTTGTGTAATTGCTGCTCACCTGAATGCTTTGAGGAGTGAACAGCCAGTGACACCTCAGCCTGAGTCCAACCTGCTGATTTTAATAAACACACTGCACCTTCAGTTCTGCCTTGACAGAACCTCATCACCTGCCTCTAGTTTTTAATTCACTTTCATTTATAAAGTGTTAAAATCACAACAGCAATCCCTGCGAGGTGCTTTATATTGTAAGGTAAAGACCTGCAATAACACAGAGTTCACATTGCAGGATGTTATGCCACACAGCTACGAGGGTAGAAGGTTACTAACAATGAAATGTCCCAGGAGTATCTCTGCCTGCTAAAGAAAAGTGTTGCAACAGAAGGAGATTTTTCCAACTATCAAAAAGAAAACTAATGAGCGCCACGTGCTTCCTAGCATGGTATGGTGGCACCACCGCCTGGTCACGGTGCCAGTAAAGCAGCCTTTTCCCGGGGCTTTAAAAACGTTGCTCAGGCTAAATTCAAAGGTTTGCTTTGATCATATCAAACTCATTGCTACATAATACAGGCCTCAGCAGTGCCGACCTGTGGCTGTAGCTCAGGTGGTAGAGCGGGTCACCTACTAACCAGAAGACATGATACTAATCGCAGGTTGCTCTTCAGTGCATCCATCGGGGTGTGAATGTTAGGTAGCACTGGAAGCCTAGAAACGTGCTGGTGTGATTGGGTGAATGAACAAGTTGTATAAAGCGCTTTGAGTGCTCAGATTGGGTAGAAAAGCGCTATATTAGAACCAGTCCATTTACCTTTAGCTCCTCCCACAATAGTTGGTGCACATTGTTCCCATTGGGCTGCAGTCTCTGGATCTTCAGTTTCAAAAGGTTCTAGCACTGAGCTACCAGGTGTTTCTTGGTTCTTTGCCCGTTCATAGTCATCACATTTATGCATATAACCTCTCTGAGTGGGTTCGCTGGCGTAGCCGTGTTACATCAGTTCCATGTTTCCTGTCCTTACCCGTGTAGGCAGCTTCTCATCTGTCCTGTTCTGGTTTCCCAACACCTGACCTTGTTAAGCTGGGTGACGTCTAAGCCAGTAGTTAGGCTTAGCTAGCATTTGGGGTCTAGCCCATGCTGCATGCATGTCTTGAATGGGTATAATACTGTCAGTGGATACAATTAGAAAACATCGTTTACATTACAGTTGGTAAACTTCATCAATACTTGGTCACCAAACATGACTTATCAGTCAGGGACGCACATCCACTGTTACAGTCACGCCAAGTACCCCAGCATGGCTCCTCTGCTCCTGCAGTGGGATAACACAACCCTTGAATTGTGCAACAAAGACATTCAGGCTGCAGACAGAACAACGTGATGTGCTCTGTAGCTGCAACAAAAATGAATCCAGCAGATTCCATTAGTGTGCGAGCTACACCACAGCCACAGCTGTTTGTGTCATATCAGTAATGCCAGCTCACAGTCTGGGTTCAGGGAAACTGCTCTCCTTTAACATGAGGCTTCAAACTTGCATTTTTTGGAGGGCAGCCTGTAGCTTCAGCTGGAACAAACAATCTTGAACTTGTGGAAAAATAAATTGACACCAATCAGATTTTCTGAGGTTCATTAAAATAAATCCGGATCAATAAAGCCAGAGCAGGCTTCACACCTGCATTGATACTGAAAAGAATAACTAACATCTCCTCTACACATGTGTGGATACAAACACTGTGTTTGCAGCTGAATGCAAACGTTACAGTTAACAGTACATAGAGGTTAAACCAGGTGAAACATTTCTAATCTTGGATTATTTTAATTCATTCACAGCACAAAACTCGTGTGTGAAATGTATTAATAAGAGCGGTGGTGAATTAACATTGGCTGTTTTGTAGCAGATGGGCATCTCACTGCACACTGTAAAGACAAATGAAAGCATTTACACAGTGTGGTGCTCAGCTGCCCCGTATCGCAGACACAACCTGGAAACACAGTCTGCAGAAGGTTCATAACATCATCCTCCCATCCAGACCACAGTCTGTGCTCCCTGCTTCCCTCTGGGAAGAACGAGGTTCAGGAACCTCTGATCCAGAAACAACCAGCTCAGGAACACCGTCCTCACATTTTAAACCCTAAACACACACAAGCACACAAACATAACATTGTGCAAATACTGTGAATCCATGTACATATTTACTCTGTAGGCTTCTCTTTCATTCATGTTCGTTACTCCGGACAATGATGTTATATCGTTTCCACTTCACATCAGATACCAAACTTTGTGTCATAGTTTGAGTATTGTGGTTTTCAGTGACAATAAAACAGTCTAATCCAAAGCCGTCTTAGTTTTGATTACTAACCTTCATAACATCTCCTGATCTAACATTCAGGAGATCAGGTAGTTTATTCACGAGAGCTGTTATTGAGTTTAGGCTCTCGTTTGCTGTGCGACACACTAATAGGTCCCTCTGACAATCCGCTCTCTAACACAACATCATGACATCATGTGTTAAGAGCAAACACTACATTAACACTACTGTCAGACTAATATTGTTTTCCATTGAACATTTTTGTTGGGCTGCTTCAGGCAGCAGGGGTCAGCGTCACTACTGGTGCCATGAAGTAGTTCTGACGTTGCACAGACCATAGAGAACATTATGCTGCTCGTAACATCGTGCAGATGAACGGTTTGGTCTGAGGACTCCTCCAGAGGAAGGCACAGACTTCTGCAGGCTGAGCACCTGACTGCCATTAGATATCGGGCCTGAGCCCAACAATGCCTGGCCTCATGTGGCAGATTGCACTTCAGACTGTCCGGGAGCTCGCAATGACCATCGAGACGTGGGGGGGAAATGCCCCAGGACACTGTCGTCTCATTAGGAGCATGCCCTGATCCTGTCAAAGTCAAATTTATTTATGTAGCACATTTAAAACAGCGACTGTTGCCCAAGGGGGTGTACATTTAAGGTAATCAAAAGAGATAAAAATATAGGAAGAAATGATAACATTTAAGAAAAAGAAGCATAAAAAGAGAAGATTTCAGTAAGAAATGAGACAAATAAAAGTCATACAAACTCTTTCTGATTTAAAAGCCAAGGAACAAAAGTGGGTTTAAAAAGAGTCCAATGTTGGGGAGGTCCTGATGTGAAGCAGTAGTTCCAGCAAAGGCCCGATCTCCTCTGTGCTTTAATCTGGACCTCGGCACAGGAGCATTTGAGCCGTACCCCCAAGTGAGCTCTTTGGGGTGTACCAATTAAAAAGACCAGAAAGGTGTGAGGGTGCTAACCCGTGCAACGCCTTCAAAAACGAATAATAAAGCAACAAAGGATCCAGCAGGTGCATCGTTCCAATCCTGGGAAATGTAGGATGCATTTGTAGGCTGTATTTGGATGAACCTCTAAATTGGGACATCCTTCACTGCCTACAATACGAACCTCAACGATGGCACATCCAGTGTGTCCAAACACAGTAGTCCAGTAGAGACATCTAGCACGGTTTTTCTAAACTGATGTTTAACACTATATTAAGAATGCCTTTGCAGTGTAATTGAGAGAATCCTTCTCTCATCTCACATGATTTTATGTTATTTATGTTAAATAACTTTTTCTCCCTCTTCTTTTTGAAGTCTTATGTTTACCAGTTTAAAACAGTGTTAATGAACACGGGGTCGGTCGGTCATTTTAAAGCCAGCACATCCTTTATCACACAAATGCATTTCATCTGAGAGAGTCCGGCTCCAACACAAAGAGATGCAAAATTATGAGAACCTAGAAGTTTGTAGATAACTGCTGGAACAAAGTTGAGAATTTGTGTTCGTGATCTGACGTATTTTCTCCAAAACAAAATATTCAGCAACTCATCCACAAAGTGGCAGCCAGGTGTCAGAGACGTCCTGAGATGCATAAAGTGTAAAAGCTGCCAGTGCTCCGCTGACACAATAACACAGACCTCTGAACTTCTGGCGACACAAAAACCTCCTGATTGTAGCGCAGTAAGAGCTTACAGGAGTTCATAGTAAAGGCTCCAGTATTTTTGTCAGTTATTAATTTCACCCCCTGCTTTAAGTTCACTTACATACAAAAGAAACGAACAGTCACAAATTTCATGGTAGTATCCAGAAAGAACAAAAAAACTGAAATAGATTTTCATGTCATGAGTGAAATAAATATTATATCACACCAAGCACAACATGACTTAACACTGATGGAAAAACGATTCTTTCGAAGCACAGCAGTAACTGGTCACAGTTTGCACACATCTCAGGAAGGAGTTTGTTCCACCCTCTTTATAGAAACTCCTGTAGTTTTCTTGGCTGCTGCTAAACAACAAGAAAGTTCAGCTCCCTCCTGAGTACCGAGGCCTGGAGACTGGCTCGGCCGCTCCTTTGTTGCCTTGGCAGTATGTTGGCAATCACTGTCAAGTTGGAAGACCACGACAATCTTCAGTATTCTTGCTGGTCTTGTGCAGGTCCA